ATTACCCTAGTGCTTTTATGTTTGATACTTCAAATGTAACTAAGACGTAAAACAACTGGACAACAAGTAAAAAATAGAAAGTACCTGTGAGTTGTTTTGTCCTAGTTCCAAACTTCTCAAGAGTCTGTAAAATTCGACCCATATATAATATTTACATATTCCAATCAGGTAGCTAAAGTATCGTTAATATATTGAAAGCTAACAGTTTAGATCTTCTTCTGGAGTGGAGAAAAAAGTTGTGTTTTTTGAAGTAATGATTGCTTTATACAATATCGTATACTTAGTACAAAATAGAATAATCAGCATATAACATTTGAAAAAGCTACTATTACTCTTCGCAAACGAGAAATAAGTATAGAAAGTTACATAAAATTCGATGAAATTTTTATAAAGAAATGAGAATCTTTAAAACAGTGAATAAGCAGTATCGAGAATATGCATTTTTGATTAAACTGAGTCGTATAACCTATTTCGCGCATAATTTCCGCTCCTTAGTGATATGCATCAACGACTCAAGAATCAAACGTAGAAACATTAGATCTCGCAGTAAAAATCATTTTTCGATTAATACATCAAAACTCAAATTTGAACTTTCAATATTCTATATCGAATGACAAGCAGCCAACATTAACGGTGATATCTGACTCCCTTTTAACATAACTGAACTTCGCCAGTTACAACTTATTAGAATTTCACAAGTGTTTAGTCACCAGGGTTGCTACTTTTTCAATAGTTATCCAAGTAATGTTTTTAAGTAGAAAGAGTTTCTCGTAAGTCAGTCAATTATTACAGCTGATCACCTAAACTATGGTTATCGTTTTAAAAAATACTGAGCAAATAAACTTCTTATTTCTATTCCCAATACTCTTTGGAATTTAATAACCACATGAAGTTATTTATATAATATCCAACTTTCAATAGGTAATTCCATTCTTATAACTTTATTATAATAACTGATACGGAATAAATGCACCACACTTCTTGTTGATTAAAAAGTCGATAAATTAGATCAAGTAAATATTGCAAATTTAACCAGAAATAGAATTTATCCTTCAATGAATTAATCATTTAACAAAATCACATATGTTCGCAAAACTAACCGTTAAACTAGATCAAAATTCAAAAGAAATCAATTTATATACACTTTATAAACTACTTTTTCACTATAATTATCTTGGCGTATACAATAAAAAACGAAATCTAATCTATGCACTAAATCACGTACACTGTTCAACTGTCTTTTTAACTATTCATTGCATTATGAAATTGTTGATTAATAGCGAGTAAGCTTCCGCAAATAATATGAAATAAAAGTGAATTAAATTATCATGATCAGTTTGACATGGTGTTAGACTTATGTGAATTCTAACAAAATTACATTTCAAAGAAAGGAAAAGTGAGAATAACTTAACGAACCGAAATTACTTTATTTGAAAAGTAAGTTGATGATACTAAGTGTGAAACAAATGAGAAAAAGATATGTAGTGCTAAATGTTAACATTACATGAAGTCGATGCAAACAAATTCAAACTTGTCAATGATTAATCTTATGCAATTCCCATTGTATTATTTTTACTCATCTCATTTAGAGTTATCAAGTTCAAGGCTATTTTTAAAGTTTCGATATTCTTAAGATGTTTTATAATAATATATAAATCTATAAAGCAGTTCCAATATCCTACTTATTACAGAAAGAATATAGTTTAGCAAAAAAAAAAAATAGAATTTATCAGTTCGAAAAACAACCTTTAACTAGTAAAGTAGAGCTACGTACCTTCAATCCTTATTCACAGTTAAAATTTGACATTCTGAACTATTGAATCAGAAATGTTAATCACATGTGATGAATCATTAAGGATAACACAACAGAATTTCATTTTCATAAACTTTGTTTATCCTATTCTGGGAAATAACTGAATGTTTTTGATAATTTTCTTTAGTGATTTAACACTCCTCTATTTTAACCTACTACGAATGGAAACTCACCTATAAATACGATTGTACAGTTCAAGGAAATTGTCTCCGCTGAAGTGCTTTTTTCCCTATTTTCATTTTAATTGAAGATCGTATTCTTAAACTATGAATGTTGGTTTGAATTTGTTATCCACCTTTGTATTTCAGATTCATTAGCAAAACATAGTTATACTTTTTCTAATCTCGAAATTTATGTTTCGAGAGTTTATTTCGAACATCAGTATACTTAAAAAAGTTATCGTTACACTGTTCACACTTGTTTCAACTTTACAAAAATCCCATAACTTGAGAATTCCTTTTTAATAAACTATTATCCTGTATATGATCTATTTGTTTTCACCATTCGAAAAAACAAACCAGCGGTTGTTCCTTCTTTAAAAAAAACAAATGTATTTGGATTAGAAATTTGTTTATAAATACTTTTTAATATGGAAATTGGGTATTTTATTTAGAAAAGTGAAGAAAGAACACCATCCACTGTGCAACTCACTTCAGGTGAAAACATATATATATATATATATATATATATATATATATATACTGTAGGATGAAAACTGAGGTTTGGAATGAGGAATAACTGTCTAGATAGTTTAGATACACATCTTGCCCAGTTGAAAACAAAACAAGTAATTGGGTATATGACGGTTCTAACATTCATCACAAATATAAGCGTACATCATTACCTAAACAAACATTACCACTCACTTATTCCAACAACAATTGTTTAATTATTCAAATCAACAGCAATAAGTAAATGATGTTCTATCCCTCTTGGATAGATCAGATTCGTTCGTCAGATAATATTTGGCTGCTTTATAACACAGAGAGCTCATTCTGGAAGAGTGCTTCAATTCAAAATCAAAATGCACAATTACATTCAAAGCAAGCAACTCAATCAAAAGAGGAAAAAATCAATATGGCTATCGCCATAACTAAGTATCAGCTTAAACAACATAAATGCAGTTCAGAAAGAAACATAGAAACTTAATGAAGGTAAAAGAAATATAAACTATAATAAAATACAAATATTATCATCTCAAATGGAATCGAACAGACTAACAAAATATACAACTGAAGGAATCAATATGAATGAATTACAAATATATAGATGGAGGGATTTTCACAAACTAGGCCTTTAAAATGAATCCTACATGTATATACATCAATAAAGAATATTCTTTTCGATTAAATCCGTTTAATATTCCATGGTTATAAATTCGAATTGATGTTCCATTGGTGAAATCAAATCTAAAGTGAATATATCTTTAAATTTTATAGCATAAGAATTAAGAATAGTTAGCCTAATAAAATAAAATTGCTTACATTCAACTAAGTTTTATGTATCATAAACATGATTAAGTTGAGACCAATAATCAAAACAAATATAAATACAATAATATAAAAATAACAATAATTAAAATAATCATTAATCAGAACCAATATGTTGATCTAAGATCATGTGTTCATTTATTTATCAGATTAATACTAATCGATAAATATGTGAAGAATAATCACGAAAATAAATGAAGTAGGTGAATAAGTAATGAAAATGCAAATAGAAATACTGTAAATACACCAGTAAAACTAGGTCATGTTTTTTTAAAATGAATATTGACTTATTGGCTCTGACGTCAGTAAAAATATAAGTAACCATTGCGTATCCATGTAAAGCTTGGACTTTTCTTCTGTTCTTAAGATTACTGTTTCTGATGTTTTGAACAGTCTGAGTTTGACAGAACTTTAAAGATCATTATTAAAGCAACAGATTGGTATAACTGTGAACTAAGTTGATAATTCACAAATACAACAGAGATAGCGACGGATGAGACTGTATTTATTCTTTTCCTCCTATTCACTAACTGGAGAGAAATTCAAGCTTACCAAAATGTTTTGTTGATAGAGATCAAAATCAATCTATATCGAAATTTATCTGACTATTTACAGTTTAAATTTAATGACTATTAATTACAGAACTTAATAAACTGTATGACTGTTAGTTGGACACAAAATCACTATGAATTAATTTATTAATGCAATAAAATAGAATTGAAAATCAAATAAACTAACTTCATAATAAATAGTTTAATATAAATAAAAAAGCATTGAAATTCATTAAACAGAGTTCACATTGAATTAGTTAAAACAGAAAAATTTCCAGTGAAAGCTAACTGACTGAAAATCGATCTAAATCAATAAGTCTCATTCATTGCATCTGAAATTTTCATAACCCCAACAAAAACGAATTCATGTTGATTGTACAACCTATTTGAACTAAGTGGGGCTGAAATAGAAACGATCAAAGTCTTAACTACACTGTTGCTTAATCAAATTCAAAAGATCCTCTGAATTTGAGATGGTAGAAAAAATTCGTAGCTCAGATGGATCTGAAGTTTGTGCTGATGATGTTTTTCAGAAAGACAATTAAAGCTCCACAATCAAAACATTCAGCTCAGAGAAAGAAAAACACCACTACAATCCTCTCAATTTATTTTCAGAACATCTACCTATGTCATTTCATGTTCATTTATGTTGCCAATTGTAACCGATTTATTATAAGCGTATAAGTTTCAGTATCTGTTTTATAACTATACTCATTTTCATATTCACTTTTTAAATATTCAAAAATCCATATCACATGTATCATAACTGGTTTCATATATTTTGTCGATACTAATTATTTATCAAACTTTGTCACTAATTAAAGAACTCTAATTGATTTTGAGTGTGTGTTAACTCTGCATTTAAACAAAATGTAAATTGTTGCCAATAAATTCCTAAATGGCGAAATACTAATAAATTTAGCTTGTAATATACTAATTCATATTTCTATGTTCTTAGACCTTTAAAAAAAATTCTATATGAAATTTCAGTAAGATGAGCTATAGATTACAAGTTAATTAGGGAACAAAAACTAAGTATGTAGGACTGTCGAAACAATCATGAAATAATCTAAATACATAAGGCAGTGTTTGTGTTAATTACAAAATCATTTGTTTTATTGATTACAAAATCTTACAGTTTCTTACCTCTGTAAACTGATGTCACATTTAGATTGCTCATCATAAAGTTTGATCCATATTAGTTAAAATCGCTTGTCACGTTAGAGAATAAATAGCTGAGTGTTATGTATTCTCATTAAGTTCTATCGGGGAACGTTCATTCCCTGGTTAAATGACTCTTTTAGATTACATATACATAAATCCAAGTAAGAACAAACAACAGCACAATAAGTGTAGATTGTTATGCACAAAACAGAAATGATCCACCACGATTCCATTCTTATCAACTACTTAGATCATTTTAATGGTTGGACAATTATAATGATTTGATTTGTATTTATAAAACAGTAATAATAAACAAACAATATGTTGATGAAACTTGAGCGTTTTTGAAAATTATTCTACAATGATTCGTTCACCGTTCTACTGCAGTGTTTAATGATATAACAAGCTTTCGTTGATTTTTTATTTACATGACCTATACGACTTAGGTCACTCAGAAGAGCTCAATGAAAGCCTACTATCTACTTACTCTAATTTATATATTTCATCAACGATGTATAAGAATATGTCTATTTAATTGAGCGTTGTCTGCATCCTAATCTTTATTTATTCCGTCATTGTTTTTAAACACAGATCATCAATAACCCTACTCACGTATCGATTCACGACCATAGAATACATATTCACCCGCTTCATAAAATTATTCTCCAATGTATTTTTTCCTATCAGCAACACGCTTTCCTAACACAACTGACACTTCGGTTATTGGATTTTAAAATGAATTCATGGCGATGCTAAGAAATACACAGTCAATGAATCATTACATTTTGGAGCCAAAATTGAGGAAATAACCTCTACACATTAAGCTATGATGAAACCACAAATTTGAGCGTGATTAAATTTTTATTATTATTATTATTATTATTATTATTATTATTATTAACTTTCCACCCAATGCTCAGTTTGTTTGAAACTATCAACTTCAACCTTGGTATTGATACGTACAAATTTAAATGATTTTCTTTTAATTATTTAAAGCATACATGTTAACTATCTGCATACTAAGTATAAATTGTTTTTGAAAATCAATGAGAAAAAAGAAAAATCCAAGAACATGGTAATAAATAATTAAATTCTTTTTACCTATTTAACTGATGTATATTTTTTTAAACATAAATTATCACTTAAATATAGAAATATGTATATGTTTTTTTGCATATTCAATGTAGTATAACAGTCGTATTGTAACCAAAGTTAGGGTCATACAAAATCTCATTATAGAAAACATGTTTGTTTAGTGAAATATTGTGAGTTAGTGTGAGTCATGGAAGTTTCTTTATCAATAATCAAGACTGTTTTGTTGTCTGAATATCCGCTTCTAACATTCACTTTTTGTAATGCTTCAATCAACTATCATTCTTATCAATAAACAGCTTAACGTTTTACTGTGCTCATAGTTTTCGCAATTATTGAAGTCAAAATTACGCTGAATCTTTCTACAATAACAAATATAAACTAAAAAAACGTGTTGATACTCAATAAAGTGCCTACACTTTTTAACTACAGTATCATATAATTCACATGAATGAATCAAACAATTAAGGTAGAGATTTATGATGAGTAGGAATTTGCATTTCTGACGTTTCGTGACTTAAAGCAAGTCATTTCTTCGGATCAAATCAATAAAATTGATTGATTCATCAGTTGCTTGCATGAAGTTTTGAAACGTCAGAAATACAAATTTCTATTCATTTGGGATATAATTAAGAAATTAGAATTATTTTTAAAATTTCTAATTATTTCTAATTTCATACATTCTACCTGCCTTCCATTTTTCCATGTTTATATGTACATAATCCATTAAATATAAATAAATATCTGTTAGTGAATTATTAAACTTATTTTCCATACGAATAAATACAAATAAATACAGTCTCATGCTTAACATATTTTCGTTTCAATAAGTGTCAGTGACTAGTTAGAAAATCAATATGGTATGATAATAATTTTTTTTCTAACTTGGAACTGGTAAGTAAAATATGTACGCAAAAACTCCAGTGAAAAAAGAATTCCGACAAGAATGTATATTCCTATGATATTGATGTATATGCCAAATCATATAAATATTCACCGGCAAACATAATTAGGGTTCATATCAGGTAAGAAATTCATTCATAGTAAATTGTATTGTGACCAACAAATGTATTTTATAATGCCTGTAAAAATTATCAGGACTATTTTGAAAAGAATTAGGATTTGCATTTTAATGATTAGAATTGTAATAGATATTTTAGTGAAAGAGAAAACTTTAGAAAAACCAGGTTGTTTTAATAGTACAAATTTAATCTGGAAGAAAAAACCACCGAATAACTATGAAATATTTTATTGTTCGACTTTATCCTAATAATACAGTATGAAGCATATTATATATATATATATATATCCTAAAATTAATAGATCATTATTTAGGATGCAAAAAATGTACTTTCTAAATGAATCAGTAAATTCTACCTCAATGTCCACTAATAAGGTTATAATTGATTTTTAACAAAACGTTTCCCAAAAAAGTTTAATCCTATGAAAATAAATTCATGCTTAATAAAATCAGCAACAGAAAGTCATAATTGGGAGAAATTAACAATGGGTGCATTTTATTCAAAATATCACCGTTTCGTTGTTGGGATAGCAATGTAACAACAGAAAAAAGCAAAAAAGCATATCTTTGCACGAAAACCTCATTCAGGTTATCTGGTTCTTTGTTAGTACAGAAAGATGAAGTCAATCAAGACCGGAAGATGTCACTTCGAATAACAAAGGATACTATTCTGCAGAAATTATAGGAAGCTTAACAAGCAACCACATTCCTATTATTTTGGTTGACTTGAAATGATATGCTAAGATGGGATAAGGAAAGGGTTAGAAAATGTTGACCCTCTAAAAATTCCACACCTCATCTTACCACAAGTATTTCCTTCTCAGTTTGTGATGTCTTTTGAAGATCAGGGTTAGCTCACCAAAAACTCTCCATAAAAAGGCGATGCATGACCGACCTAGGATGGTTAGACTAACACCAACCCAGATTCCTTGTCGGGTCTCTCAAGAAGAGATATCCTCCCATGATTTGGGAAGCTGAAAAGTGACAAACGTCCTCATAACTCTAACAACAAACGAGATCAGCTTGCTCAAAATGAAATCTCCCCTACTGTGGAGTAAAGTTTCGTTCTCAGAGTTTTACGGTTTGGTCGTGGGGCTTTCATTAATCTTGTGAACATCATCAGCAAAAAATTCAGCCAGAAGTAAAGTATTCGGATTTCCCCACGTGACTCGTAGCTTGTCCTGTTGACCTCGATTTCGTTCGACTGTTAATGACATTTTACTGTCATTGTCTGCCTCTTTGTTTTGATTGTATTCCCCTTTTAGTTGTTAATCCTACGCCAATCTGATAAATTAATCGTCAACAAAACAAACTAACCCCAATAATTGGTGCTTTGATTTTTCAATTATTCTCGAGTAAATTCATAATAATACTCGTGGAATTAACCGTTGACGGCAGTAAAAAATATATGGTGGAAATAACCACCACAGGAGTAGACTGTTCAGAGAGAGTCTGCAGGACAATAGATAAAAGTGATTAGAGACTTTAAACAACATGGGTCAAAATCATTTATCTCCGTCTAAATCCTGAACTGTACAAAAAAGTACCTAAAATGATTCAATAATCTGCATATAAATCTTAAGCTTTCCGTTTTTATTAGGGTAAAGAAGAAATTCGAATTGACCTTAAGGAATATTTAATAAACCATTAAGAATTGTGTAACTTATAATAAACATTCAACTAAATCTAGCAATCTAACAAAGAATCCTATTGAGAAGCCGTGATTAGTAGAGTTCAGATCTGTCGGCTGTGATATAGTTACCAATTGAAGACAATGGGAGATATTTGCACATTATTGCAAACTGGTTGAGTTTATATATGTACAGCACTAGATTTTAGTTCGCTGGTACAGAGGTCAAGTACTATCTAAGAGACCGAATTTTGTGGATTCGATGCCATATAGTGTTGTGGATATTCACTGTTGAGAAGTCCCTTACTAGGACAACGCAGTCATCTGGTGCTTCCAGCTTTTCAATAATTATATGATTTGATTTGATTCGAGATTTCAATAAGATGGTCTAAACGTTTACGTCATACTTTCCTTCTTTAAATGATAATATAACATTCAACTGAAACAGCTTCTTTTTTTACTAATTTTCTTTTTTCAGAACACATTGATATAAATTTACAAAACTTACATCAGTTCACGTATAACTGACTGACTAATTTCCGATATTGCATCATACTAATTTTTTGACTTCTCATGCATTACTAGTAAGGAGAAAAATGTACATGGTACATGTACATGTACATAATGATTGTTTTATTTACTATTCATTAAAGAAATTAAAAATAAACGGAACAAACACCAGACTATATTGACTAATGAAAGTGTTTATAATTTCTTCCTCTTCATATTTTACATGAAAAAATGAATTTGCACAGGTCTGAATTTCTTTATAAAGAGTGTTTGCTTGACTTTTAGAATTTGTTCTATCTTTCAGTTGTTATAAAACAGGTGTTAAAATTTTTCATAAAAAAGCATCAAAACCAACTTATAAGATTAGAGTATTCGCTTCTATCGAGAAATGTTTTTGGCAAAACAATCGAATACACTACGGCACTACATAAAATAAATTTAGACAGCATGTTGGACTCTCTCCTTGTTTGAATGTAAATACATCAACTTAAATAACTAGTATTACAATTTCATTATGATTAAATAGTTTGTGCGCATTTACCGCATAACAAAGAGCGAATGTATACATGTTGTTAAAACTACAAAGCATTAGTAAAACTGCTGCTCAAAACCAATATAAAAGACCTATGAAATCATATTATGGTGCATATATGATACTAAGTGTTCAACCCGCAGTTAAATATACAGTAACGATAAATCACATTTATTGAGTCTATTTGAACTAAGGTGACAAAATGAAATGAAGACTTAAGGCTCATAAACAACTCTACACTTCATTCGGAAAGAGCTTAAAATATGCTGAACTTAGGTGAAAATATAACAGACTGCTACTCACTACTTAACAATTTGGAATGGCCGTTCGACTTGCTGTTGTTCACCCATATTCCCAAAATATTTATTTGGTATGCTTGAACTACTTAAAACTACGAAAGTAGTATGAATGTTTCAGACAAAACTCAT